AAAACAACGTAACTACTGCGTTTACGATAAAGATGCCAGTCGGGTCAACGAACAGTTATTGGTAAAATTAGGTTTTAAATTGAGATTCGTAGACCGTTGATCTAACCTCACCATCAAGTAAGTGCAACAAAATTTTATTATTTTTTCCCCTAAAAATAATACCGGTTGTGATGGAGCAAATATTGGATTTTGGAAAACGTGAAGTCAAAGGGAAAAACCAAGTTATAGCTTACTACGTACAAGTCAGTAAGCGGTATGAAATGTTGACCAATAGATACACTCATATGTCTTTCCTAGCTAAGAGATATTTGTGAATTGATTTTATTACCTGAACCTAGACTAGGTAACACCGTAAATCCACCATGGTTAGAATTATTCTATTATCAGATGTAACAATTCAAATAACAAACGGGACCGCGAGATGATAGCAACCGATGGTTAGAGACCCTGAATGACATGGCTCAAAATCGTTTGCAATGGCGCAGGTGCATACACTCTTTGTGTTCTCCCGAATTCTAATCTCCTGATTCTTCCTTGTCTCTTTTTCCTCTTCCCAAATTTATTTCACTGGATTATACTCTTTAAATAACATTTCCAAATCCTAATCTTCCCGACTACTGCTTATACTCTTACTACCTCTACCACTACGGGATTTGAGTCGACAACTGGATCTCTGTGCTAATGTGGTATGGCAACTCGAACTGATGTACGTACGTACGAAGTTCTACGTTGTTACTGACTGACTGACATTAAGTCGCGTATCACATTTAACCATTTGATTTCTCAACTCAGTGAATAACTGGGCACGAACGAACAAAATAACTATAAAATGTCCATATATAAAAGATACATACCCGCTAACATTGGTCGGTCCTCATGATTAAGATGAAAACTTGGCTTGCTGTGTGGGAGGACAAGTCTAGAATTTGACGAAACACTTTTTTCGCCGTCTATAATAACTGGTGAGCATGTTTTGCTGCTTGGAACGTCTGAAGTATGTAGTGACTGAAAGCAAGAATCAATTTTCTTCCTATCAAAAACATGGGTAAAACTGATCGCTTTAACAGAATTAGCAAAATGTTTCTTCAAACCTGATAGGCCATTGTGATACAAAAGTGTCTCACAAGATGACAATTCATCAAAATCACTAAATCCAGATAGGGCCATGGAAGACTGAAAATATCTGTTTTTAAGAGGCAGTATTTAGGTTGGAAGCAGGCCACCTGAAAATCGATAGAGAAATGTCTGATGAACCTTCGGAAACCGAATACAAAAACGGTTTAATGCGTTAAAAATAGGAAGCTGATTGATATTGTTTTAGCGCACTATCAAGCGGAGCTGAAAAATCTGAAATGCCGCAAATGGTAAGGTATGAGAAAAAAGGTGAGACTATAATTTACGGACGACCTTTGAGAGACGCCAGATTGACCTTTAGAGTGTCCACCTAATAACCAGGGTCAAATGAGGGTTACAAACCTTTGTGATGAATTAAAATTATGATTTACAGTTGATGATTAAGGTTGGAAATTAGATATAGGGTTTTCATCACGAACTAACACCAGCTATAATGCCAAAACTCTATTTATTCGAAGGAATGAGTGAAATCCGCGCCAAAATCCAAGATCTGTTATCTTATACATGGTTGGTTCGTCCATAAATTATAATTTCGCCGAAAAAAGCAGTACAGTAAAATGCCATTTATACACAATGACTGAGGGCTATATTTCATAAAAATATTCGAATTATGATTCGAGAAATGACATAACAAAACCCAGATAACAGGGGTGAAAAAACGTGTTCATGTAAACACTCCGGATGGTACCATATGGCCCTGCAGGACGAGCTGTAGTGCTCAACCCAATCAGAAAGCCGGGATTGCTATAAGAGTAAATCCTCCAATGAGATGTGTGTAAATTTTTTGCTTAATTAATTTCCGAATAGTTTTAGTCGTCCAACTAATCTATTGACCCTACTAAATGAACCACTTGTTCCTACCGTCTCGTAAATCCCGCCACAACCTTTCAGTTGTATTACTGAGTTATCTGAACAAGAAAAAGAAAACAATTTTCCTAACTCATCACATTTTTCTATGTTTCTCGTGCTCCTAAAAACGTTGTTACAGAAAACGTCTGTGAATTAAAAGACGGGGACTTAGCCGATTTTTCTGTACAGAGTAAATCTTTTAGTTTTTACTGTATACTAAGATGTAAAAACTTCTTTCATACTCATTTCAGTCAGATATTTCAGTTACAGTAACAAAGAATTCTGATCCTCTTGTGTTCAACGTTTATCACTTTTAGAATTTCAAAGAACACTTATTCTAGAAATCGGCTTCTTATTTGTTCTATAGAGGTAAATGTATCCTCAAGATAAACAATTCTGTGAGTCTTCACTATTGATACCAACCTCACTTGTTTAACGTCATACACTCTAGCTGAAGTCGCTCGGCCACATCCACACCAGATCACGGGTGGGTACTCTGTGCTACGCATCCCTTAGACTGAACGCTTCTCGAAATACTGATAGCAGATGTCCGTTTTCGAGGAGGCAAAGAGTGTCACCATGAGTCCGGCTTAAGATTTTAATGAAAGCATTAACATACCTCCATAATGTAGCGGATAATAACTACACAGATTTAGGCATGGTTACAAGTAATAAAAAGAAGTATACTAATAAGGAACAAATGATAGGGAGCTCCAAGATATGTGAATCGACGGTTTCATCTCCGGATTCCCATATCAACTCAAAAAAGGCCGGGGAGGAGCATAGCCTGAGCGATATATGGGATGTGATTAAGAGGCGAAATGAGATCAGTGAGTGGCTTACAGTCATACCCGGATAATTAAGGAAACAGAGTGAGACTTGCACTTCTGACGCCAAATTAGACTGCAGGGATGGGAAGACTTTAGGAGACAAAACTTCACAGCTTGTCAAGACGTGTCTCGCTGAGAGGTCATTCATATTTTATATGTTAAAAGTGTCTTCCGGAAAGGAACAATAGGCTAGATTTGATCACGATCTAAGCTACATTAAGTTCCTATTAAACAAACTAATCTCAGAAACAGTTGTATGGGTTGTTATTAATAAGCTTTGTAGAGAAAGACAAGAAGCGGAATCTGAAATTGTGCAAAAGGGCTGCCTCTTTAAAGTTTCTCCATTTCTGTTGAAAAAAGAAGCTTAATACTGGATAATTCGCGCAAACTGACTGGATCCGAAATATATGTCCGTCATGATCTCATGCTGGTTGATTGTATTAAGACACGATCGGTAGAAGTAAAAATAAATTAGCACCGCTGAAACGGTGCGAAATACCTTATACACGCTGAAAAAAGTTTGGGGCAAGACGACCCCCTACCACTATAGATGGTACGGAAACGTTTTTCACCGAGTTTAGGGTATTCCACACAGCCTATTAAATAAAAATGGCGGAGCCCAAAACTGTACAGAGCACAAAAATCCTTGATGTCACTACCATCTACGAAACGTGAATAACGAAAGAAGTGTATGACAGTTAAATTAAGTGGTTTGGTTTATTGCTTTGTAGGGATGGTAGACTAAACCGTGAGGGTGGCGGGTTTGTCCCGTACATGAAAAACACCGTCACCATACGAGCTGTCGAGACGGTAACACACGACTCAGGAACGTGTGAACTGGTGTGCTGCCAACTGAAATGTAGAAGGCAAGATATTAAGTTATTCGCAGGGTGACGGAAAGAAAACGAAAATTCCTTCAGAGCGTTTTGTTGAGTAGTAATGACAGTTATTTATTTATTTGCTCTGTCTTGTATTTCGACATCTATTCAGGTCTTGTGTCACCACACTTTGAGTCCTTTCAGTCATTCTCGTCTGACTCTGTTTATGTGGCCTTGGATAAAGACCTGTAGTGGGACTTCGCCCTAACCACACAATCCCCAAAGTTGAACACGATACAAGTGGGAAAATAGATATTCAACATTTAAAGCAGAGAGAAACCCAACGATGGAGAAGGAAGGAGTAATTAATTCAATTAGTTCGAGTTGGTCGAATGGCGTGACTCGGCTTTGCCAGCGTGATCCTACTTATTTAACAGTCTTTTATCTATTTTAAATATATTGTTCTATCTCCAACCTAAATGTGTTCTTCACCGTATATGATCAGTACAATACGAATGAGTCAAGATAGATAATGCTGTGGTATCCAAGTAAAATCTTATAGATTAGGCAGATACATCATAATAAATCTACAAGTTTAGTATTAGGTCTATTATTAGAGCAGTACTAATATCATAGTGGATTATAATTCTACAGTCCTACCTTTTGTTACTTAGCTAAACTGTTAGGTTTTGTCGGGTTATTGACATTAAAGTCGTACTTGACTACGCCGAGCGTCACGGTGTGATCCAGAGTATGACTGCCAACCTTTGACTGTTTACCTGGAATGGTTGCTGGATTCTTTGCAGACAGATATATGGTCCCAGCTTATAGGGAATATTTTAATGACTCTCACGAATCGAACTCCTGTTTAAGAACTATTCTTTTTAGCGTTTAACACATTGATTTATGTTAGAGAAACCCTTGATTGTATAGCACAAACTTTAACATTCGCAGCATTTTGTACATTAGACAAAATTTCATCTCTTTTTCAAATTGGAACTGTTTAGATTGGACGCAGTTCGTGTCACCCAAAAACGCTTCGTGCGCTATAACGAAGAACGTAGTCTGACCTGATCGAATAAATTTGGTTTGTTAGTTCTGAGTCATCAAATGCATAGTTTGATTACAAATTGTTAGAAACCATACTCACCCTGGCTTTGTTCCGGCACATTGGAGACCCCACCAGATATGACCTACAAAACTCTTCGTCCCTCTTGGACTTATTCTTAATATACGGGGATGATGTCAGCCAAGTGACTTCCTCCCCCACCTTTGTGGAAAGTGAGCATGTGATCATCTTATCCAAGTCCATGGCTGAGATTACCTGTGAAGCAGTTGCGACGCCACGTCCTAACGTATGGAAGGCAGACATGAAGGCGGTAAACTTTGCAGCCTCGCCTGTACACTGGAAAATCGACTCAGCAACATCAGCAGAAGAGGCATCGACTCAATTTTCAAAAATAACCCAGGCGAGTTCAACTATTTTACTTAGTGATTTTTTTTACTTAACATGTATATGTTTTCCGGTTCCTTTTGCTATATATTTGTAAGTGTCCCTAGGCTAAATGCAGTAACTTCTTATGGAATGTTTATAACGCATCATATTCCTGCCTGAAGTTTCACTAGCAGTCTAAACTTTAAAATTATTTTCTGGTCATGTTCATTATTTTTAAATCGTCATATACGTCAACAACCTGCATGTTAACCTGGCCCATACATACGTTACACTATATCTCCATGTCTTCTAAATTTAGAAATCATCTGGATCGCCTTTAACATTCATCAATAAACCCATCATAGTCGTTGTTGCTAATCGTATTTGGGTTTATGGATTGGTTTATCATATTACCAGTCTAAAATGCGAACATAGTTTAGATAATAAGATTAAAAATTTAGATACTATCAACTGCACTAGTAAAATAACTAAATCCCCAAGTAGCTGTTGGCTAAACAAACGTTTAAAATCAAAACTCCGTAGCCTACTAGAATTAACACTAAACTAATCTTTCTGATATAAAATTTATAATTAAATTAGGCGCCTCGGATTCTTTAACGTAAATTTCTGATGATTTCAGGCATTTATACAATTAAGTGTCACAACCATTTATACCCTGGACGGTCCCAAACAAGAAATACGGCTATCCTTAGATAGACAGAGATATTTGACACTTACTAAGACAAAAGAAACATTGGGACTTCACCGTCAGTCTTGGAATAACAAATGCGATGGGACGCCACAGGTCGATCCGAAACAAGTCTATTATCACAATGAAGACAGCAGGGCAAAAATATGAAAAGCATTAAGCATAATCTGTAATGAAGCAGCCGAAGGTACTGTTCTCGTACATAAATTACGGAACATGCACGCATCATTGTATTCCCTACATAAATATTGAGGGGAGTACATCTTAAATGATAGAGGATGATCAGGACAAAGCAGAGGCTATGGCGAACAATTTTGGGGCAGCTTTCACTACGGACCTTTTTCTAGACGAAGAACTAGACCCAAATACAAAGTCACATAACCGGCTGCTCACAGTGGACTTCAATCAAGACGATTTTACTGACAGCCCTTACCACTTTAGAAACGGAA